GAAGGGCCATTTGAGGTCGGATTTGATAATTTTTCATATGTATGAACTCGTGGAAGGATAAGGAACCCGTTGATGTAAAAATTTCTGAGTTTCGAGAAGTGGGCCCGGGGCTCGGGTTTTGCTAATTTCGGGGTTTTTGAGATTTTTCAATTGTTTTCGCTTGGGTTTTGTTCCCTTAGCCTATTGTGACGTATTCGTTCTGATTTTGGTTAGATTCGACGCGCGTGGAGGCCGATTCGAGAGGCAAAGGCGTCGCGAGCTAGGGATTTAGCCGGTTCGAGGTGAGTAATGCTTGTAAATGATGTTCTGAGGGTTTGAAACCCCGGATTTGCACATCTTAGTGCTATGTTGAGGTGGGACACACGCCTATTGACGAGCGTGGGGTCGTACACTGTTGGGGATTGTGACTTGGTCCGTCCCGGTTGATGATTTTACCGCGTATTTGACCGAAAACATATTTGTTATCACTATGATTTGGGCTAAACGTCTTATTTGGGCTTCGTGCCAATTATTTGAACCCTTCGGGCATTTCTTGATATTTTCCTCACTGTTTGAAGTATTTACTGAACTCAGTCATGTATTTTTCCACTGTTTTACTACTCAGCCGGTTTTACTCATGTTTAGAGACTTAAATGATGTTTTGAGCTAAGACACACTGTTTTATTATTGCCCAAGGGGCTTATGAGTATTTTGTAAGGCTGAGGGCCTACGTTGTGAGGAGACATTGATATTGATTTGAGGCCGAGGGCCTGAGATATGTACGCCACGAGGTGGCTTGATTGATATGAGGCCGAGGGCCCTGTTGTGATGCCACGAGATGGTTTGTTATTGCGCTTGGGCCGTAAGGGGCCCCTCCTGAAGTCTGCACACCCCCAGTGAGCGCGGGTACCCAGTGGGATGTGAGATTGAGCCCGAGGGGCTGTTATTGTTTTGAGTTGTTGCCCGAGGGGCAGATGTGGTGATACTGTGCCCGAGGGGAGAGCTTTTATTTATTTACCGTACCTTAAATTATCTGTCATTTACCTGTTTACTTGTCGAAAGAGGATTTTACTGGATTTCCACCGGTTTTACTGCTTTTAAATGATTTTTACTGCTTTATCATAGAATGCTTAGTGCCTTGCCTGATTTCTTGCTTTCAGTCATTATTTACATTTATTACTCACTGAGTTGGAGTACTCACTTTACTCCCTGCACCCTATGTGCAGATTTAGGCGTATCAGGTTCCGCTCCGGAGTGTTGATTTCCTCTAGTTTCAAGCGGGCTTCTTCGGAGATTATGAGGTAGTTGTTGACGTCCGCAGCCCCGTGTCTCTATTTCTCTATCTTTCCTGTTCTTTTCAAACAAATATAGTAGTTTATGACTTAGCAGACTGTATTATGGATTCATAGATGCTCGTGACTTGTGACACCCCGGTTAGGGCTGTGTCGGGTTGGATTTTCCGCATTTTTATCGTTATTTCCGCTATTCAGTGTTAGTAAATTATGTTTAAACTATTATGTGTTGTTTAACTGTTTTAAAAGATGAGTTGGGTTGAACTGGCTGGCCTTGTCTTCACGAGAGGCGCCGGGTTCGGGGTTAGGATCGTGACAGCCTCACTTAGTCATAAACCTCTCAAGCCACTCGGGTTATCAGTAAAAACAGGGTGCTCAGCCCAAAATATCATTTTATGCACGGAGTAGTAAAGACTGAGTTATGATATCAGTAAACACAGCATGACTGAGTATAGATCCTTAAATCAAAACAGTACGAGGATAATAAGATAAGGCCCCTAAGGGTCCAAACAGCTTTGGCACAAGGCCCAAATATGGCATTCAACCCAATTTATAGAAATTCTTTCTAAAACACACAAGTATTATATAGTTTCAGTTAAATACGCAACTTAATAGTTCTACGGGACGGACCAAGTCACAATCCCTAATGGTGCACGCCCACACGCCCATCGCCTAACATGTGCGTCACCTCAAAGTAGTGAAAAAATGTGAAATTCGGGGTTTCATACCCTTAGGACAAGATTTACAATCATTACTTACCTCAAACCGGTCAAATCCCTACTCCACGACGCCCTTGCCTCTAGAATTGCCCTCTGAACGTCCCGAGTCTGACCAAAAGCAATACAATGCAATCAATATAGGCCAATGAACCAAATTCCATACGAAAAATTATCAATTTAAACCAAAATCCCGAAATTCACCCAAACCCGGGCCCCGAGCCAACGTCTCGGAATCCAACAAAAATCACACAACTAGAAACTCCTTTCACTCACAAGTCTATACATACCAAATTAATCAATAATCCGACATAAAATGGTCCCTCAAATCCTCAAATTATACTCTCCAATTTCCAAGCTCTAACCCCTCAATTTCATCCCTAACTTCTACCAATTTCATGCTCAAACAAATGAAAATTACCATAATCACAAGTATTAAGCTCAAGTAACTTACGACAATGTAAACCCCCTTGATTCCCTCTTCAAAACCCTCCAAAAAGCTCCAAGTCCGAACAAGAATGGTGAAAAATAACTCAAATTTCGCGAAGTCCCCCTTTTATACATTCTGCCCAGCACTTTCCACATCTGCGGTCCTAATGTTGCTTCTGCGACGCCGCACCTGCGGAAAATCCATCGCAGGTGCGGCTTTCACTTAAAGCTCAGAACCCGCTTCTGCGGTCAAATTCCCGCATCTGCGATCTCATAGGTGCGGTCCGATATGCGCACCTGCGGCTCCTGCCCTTCTCAACTATGGCCGCTTCTGCGGCTGCTCTTCCGCTTCTGCGGGCCCGAACCTGCGGTCCCCACTCCGCAGGTGCGGTTATGACAGCTGAGAATCACGCAAAATCAACCCGAGGCCCTCGGGAACTCTACCAAACATACCAACAAGTCACATATCAACATTCAAACTTAGTCGAACCTTCGAAACACTCAAAACAACATCAAAACACCAAATCACCCTCGAATTCAAGCCTAAGAACTTCTAAACTTCCGAATTTCGCAAACGATGCCGAAACCTACCAAATCACCTCCGAATGTCCTAAAATTTTGCACACACATCACAAATGACACTACGGACCTACTCTAACTTCCAAAATTCCATTCCGACCCCGATATCAACATTTCCACTGCCGACCGTGAATCGCCAAATTTCCAATTTCGCCAGTTCAAGACAAATTCTACCATGGCCTCAAAATCACATTTTAGACGCGCTCCCAAGTCTAAAATTACCTAACGGAGCTAATCGAACCTTCAGACTCCACACCCGAGATCGTTCACATATAAATCAACATCCGGTTGACTTTTCCAACTTAAGCCTTCTCAAAAGAGACTAAGTGTCTCAATTCACTCCAAAACCACTCCGAACCCGAACCAACTAACAAGATACAACTGAGGAACACATAGGAAGCAGAAATGGGGGAAACGAGGCTATAATTCGTGAAACAACCGGCCGGGTCGTTACACTATTGGAGGCTTCAAAACACAGAATTAAGTTTTAAAACTCTAGATGACCTATCGGATTATCACATTGGTTTAATATCCGGTTAGCCGTAAGAATGGCTTCCCCTTACAAGTTCTGTAGCAAATCAGAACTTATCAACAAAGCGTTCATTATTTCCTTTAATGATCAATTCTTTCTTTCCGCAATCCCATTGAAATTGGGGCGGTAAGGGGTCGTTGTTTGATGAATAAGTCCATATTCTAAACATATCTCTTCAAAAGGAGATTCTTATTCACCACCCCTATCACTTTTTATCGTTTTGATTTTCAACTTTGTATTGCTTGAATGCATCTATTGCTTCATCTTTACTATTAAGCAAGTAAATATAGCAATATCGAGTATTGTCGTCAATAAAAGTTATGAAATACTTCTTTCCACCGCGAGATGGTATTGACTTCATGTCGCAAATATTCGTGTGAATTAAATCTAAAGTATTTGAATTCCTTTCAACTGACTTATAAGGATGTTTAACATACTTAGAGTGCACAAATATTTGACATTTTGATTTGTCGCATTCAAACTTAGTCAATACTTCCAAATCAATCATTTTTCGCAAGGTTTTATAATTGAAATGTACCAAATGTATATGCCATAAATTATTTGACTCAAGTAAGTAAGAAGAAGTTAAAATTTTATTATTGTCAACAACCATTACATTCAGCTTGAAAAGGCCCTCAGTAAGGTAACCTTATCCTAAGTACATCTCGTTCTTGCTTATTACAACTTTGCCTAAAACAAAAATACACTTAAACCCGTTCTTAACGAGAAGTGAAATTGAAACTAAGTTCTTCCGTATTTCAGGAACATGATAAACGTTGTTCAGAGTCACCACCTTGCTAGAGGTCATCTTCAGGAATATCTTTCCATAACCTTCAATTTTGGCCATTGCAGAATTTCCCACAAAAATGGTCTTGTCGGGTCTAGCGGGAGCATATGAAGCAAATGCTTCTCTAACAGCACAAACATGGTGGGTGGCACCAGAATCAATCCACCATTCCTTAGGATTTCCCACTAAGTATCATTCAGACAACATAGAGCACACGTCATCAATATCATCATTTGTTTTAACCATATTTGCTTGACATAGTGCACAACTTACTGCTTTCTTTTCTGTTAAAACAATGCAGAACGATGAATGAGAGATAAGAATTTTCGTAAGAAAAATCTGTAAGGTAAATCTGAGGGAGAGTTCATGTATTTATAGCCAAACGTTGGGTAATAATGAAGAGTTACAACTCTGTAAGGTTGCAACTCAAAATGGTTATTTTATAAAACGATCATTTATGCAAATCGCCAAATTCAAATTATAACAGAAAATTAAAATGGAGGAAAATTGAAATACCGTTACAGTAACGGTCTATTGATACCAAATCAATCCAAATCACCTCCAATCTTTCTCAAAATTTGTATATTGACTCATCTATATGTTTTCAATGAATTTCCACCATACTCATTGAAAATATCATTTTTTGCTTAGATTTAAAGATAAGAACCGCATTTTTACTTCATGAAATGAAAAACTTGAATCCCCGTTCGATTCACTGGTCAAACTTGGAGAAAAATAGGCCTATTTCAAAAGAGAAAAAGAGACTAGTAATTAATCCCTTTCATATCATTTGACCAATTGTAACTTCTTGATTTCAATAGTTGAAGTATTTAGCAAAGACTCAGAATAAGTAAGAATAGAAAATTCGATTTAAGTTTTAAATTAGTTTAAGTTAGTTCATATTTTGACTTTTTATTGACTCCTTTCAAAAGAGGTTATTGATAGACAGAAGAATCATGGTATCCACTTCCGGGTATTAGCAAAAGCGTTACGCATGTCTGGTGGAGATCATATTCACTCTGGTACCGTAGTAGGTAAACTTGAAGGTGAAAGAGACATAACTTTGGGCTTTGTTGATTTACTGCGTGATGATTTTGTTGAACAAGATCGAAGTCGCGGTATTTATTTCACTCAAGATTGGGTCTCTTTACCAGGTGTTCTACCCGTGGATTCAGGAGGTATTCACGTATGGCATATGCCTGCTCTGACCGAGATCTTTGGGGATGATTCCGTACTACAGTTCGGTGGAGGAACTTTAGGACATCCTTGGGGTAATGCGCCAGGTGCCGTAGCTAATCGAGTAGCTCTAGAAGCATGTATACAAGCTCGTAATGAAGGACGTGATCTTGCTCAGGAAGGTAATGAAATTATTCGCGAGGCTTGCAAATGGAGCCCGGAACTAGCTGCTGCTTGTGAAGTATGGAAAGAGATCGTATTTAATTTTGCAGCAGTGGACGTTTTGGATAAGTAAAAACAGTAGACATTAGCAGATAAATTAGCAGGAAATAAAGAAGGATAAGGAGAAAGAACTCAAGTAATTATCCTTCGTTCTCTTAATTGAATTGCAATTAAACTCGGCCCAATCTTTTACTAGAAGGATTGAGCCGAATACAACAAAGATTCTATTGCATATATTTTGGCTAAGTATATACTTACCTAGATATACAAGATTTGAAATACAAAATCTAGAAAACTAAATCAAAATCTAAGACTCAAATCTTTCTATTGTTGTCTTGGATCCACAATTAATCCTACGGATCCTTAGGATTGGTATATTCTTTTCTATCCTGTAGTTTGTAGTTTCCCTGAATCAAGCCAAGTATCACACCTCTTTCTACCCATCCTGTATATTGTCCCCTTTGTTCCGTGTTGAAATAGAACCTTAATTTATTACTTATTTTTTTATTAGATTTTAGATTGTTAGTGATTAGATATTAGTATTAGACAAGATTTTACGAAACAATTATTTTTTGATTTCTTTATAGGAGAGGACAAATCTCTTTTTTTCGATGCGAATTTGACACGACATAGGAGAAGCCGCCCTTTATTAAAAATAATATAAAGGGGGTTCCAACATATTAATATACAGTGAAGTATTCCCCCATATTCAGAACTTTTTTTCAATACTCACAATCCTTATTAGTTAATAATCCTAGTGATTGGATTTCTATGCTTAATCTGATAGAAATAAGATATTCAAATAAATAATTTTATAGCGAATGACAATTCATCTATTGTTTTTTCATGCAAATAGGGGGCAAGAAAACTCTATAGAAAGATGATGGTTTAATTCGATGTTGTTTAAGAAGGAGTTCGAACGCAGGTGTGGGCTAAATAAATCAATGGGCAGTCTTGGTCCTATTGAAAATACCAATGAAGATCCAAATCGAAAAGTGAAAAACATTCATAGCTGGAGGAATCGTGACAATTCTAGTTGCAGTAATGTTGATTATTTATTCGGCGTTAAAGACATTCGGAATTTCATCTCTGATGACACTTTTTTAGTTAGTGATAGGAATGGAGACAGTTATTCCATCTATTTTAATATTGAAAATCAGATTTTTGAGATTGACAACGATCATTCTTTTCTGAGTGAACTAGAAAGTTCTTTTTATAGTTATCGAAACTCGAATTATCTGAATAATGGATTTAGGGGCGAAGATCCCTACTATAATTCTTACATGTATGATACTCAATATAGTTGGAATAATCACATTAATAGTTGCATTGATAGTTATCTTCAGTCTCAACTCTGTATAGATACTTCCATTATAAGTGGTAGTGAGAATTACGGTGACAGTTACATTTATAGGGCCATTTGTGGTGGTGAAAGTCGAAATAGTAGTTGTGGTGGTGAAAGTCGAAATAGTAGTGAAAATGAGGGTTCCAGTAGACGAACTCGCACGAAGGGCAGTGATTTAACTATAAGAGAAAGTTCTAATGATCTCGAGGTAACTCAAAAATACAGGCATTTGTGGGTTCAATGCGAAAATTGTTATGGATTAAATTATAAGAAATTTTTGTATAGTATATATATATATATATATATATATATATATATATTCCTAAACCGAAAAGGTTGCAAAGTGCTCGATGTTACCTATTATTTTGATAAAGAATTAATCTATCAAAATTTTCTTAACCGAAAATATCCTCCTAAACATAAAGAGAATCTAATATTCCTAGCCAAAACTTTTCTAGTTTTAATTGAAAGTGCAAGGAGAAATTTAATACTCCACGAAACTTTCCTAGTACGAAAATTTCCTATTTTTAGTTGAAATTATTTGGAGTTCCATAATTAAAGGAATTGAAAAAATTAAGTTTTATATATTAGGAAAATAATTAATGATCTTAATAGTTGTTAATGATCTTAAATATTAGAAAAATAATAAAATGTCTATTTTATCCAATGTGAACTCTATTTTAATAGGGTAAAAAAGGCGAATGATATTTCGTTAAGGGCCTTCGTACTTTTAATATAAACTAGTCTGAGGGTACGCGCTTTGCGCGTGTATCCATTTCAATAAAAATATAATTTCCTTTAAAAAATCACATAAATAATATTAGATAATGTGTTTGAGTTATATAAAATTATAAAATAAAAAATATCTTTAAATGATGCATATTTTTTTCATTTGGCTAGCTCAATAAATGAAGAAATCAAATTCCACGGAAGTTATGAGATGCCTTGTTAAGATTTATGAGGACTTATGTGGGAATGCCTTATGAATTTTTTTCTTCAATAATCTAATACTGAAAACAAAACATAAAATTATTTTTATCACGAATATCTGATAACATAAGTTGAAAATTAACAAATATGATAAAACAAGTGAGTTATCACTTGAATAACAAACCAAATGAAGCACGTTATGTTATTTTAGTCAGCATATATAATATATGTATATATAAACTATTTTAAAACATTGATAGTCTTTTATTGTGGTTTGTAAGTAATACTCAAAATTTATGTATCAAAATATGATAGTAACAGTAAAGGAAACATATTAGCATGGTATTGAATCTTCTCGGTCTTTTACAAACTCAAACCATAAAGAATTTATAAGATAAAATTGTGCATAGTTCAACAGACAAAGAAAATCATGTTAAAAAATAAGACTCTTAAACCAAAAAGGAGTTCAAAGTGTCATTTTTTACCTAATATATTTGTAAAAAATTAATTTGTCAAAATTTTATTAACTAAAAAAACCCTTCCTAAACATAAAAGAAGTATATATTGGTTAAAACTTTCCAAGTGTAAAATTTAATACTCATAAATCTAAACAAAGTTCAAAGTAAAAACCTTCCTCGTGAAGAAATTGAAAAAAATGAAACTTTCCAACCGAAGGGATTTGAAATCGAACCGAACTTTGTTGGTGAAGAAGAACTAATCTTTCCTGCGGAAGGAATTGAAAACTTAAATTAATTCTCTAAGATTTAAATTTTCCTAGTGTGAATTGGACGTCCCTGAATTCCTAATATGGAAATTAATTGAACAATTAAAGCTCTAAATATTAGAAAATTAATTAACCGACTATTCCTAAATATTAGGTAATTAATTAAATGAATATTCTTAAATATTAGGAAAATAGTCAAATGACTATTTTGTTCAGTGTATAATATTTTTACAAGGCAAAAAAGACGAACGATATTTCGCTAAGGGTATTCATGCTTTTAATATAGTATAAATATAGATAGACAGACATATTAAAAAGTTAATTGACACGTAAAAGAATATCTATGGTTTAAAGCTGGGGAGTTTATTTTAAAAACAAAGTTTGGGGGTAAATGATTTTCACCCTTATTGTTACTCTTGACAAATATCAGTTCCATTCATAACATTTTTTGGCTCAGTTTGAGAGAGTTTCATTTGGTACTTATAAATCTGGATTTAAAAAACAATTAGGAACTCTCATTCCCTCGCTTTGCCATAAACCCCTTTCTAAAACCCTAGATACGCAAGAAAATAGCACTTGGTGAAACATTCATACTAGGGCGACAGACAATCCGGCGAAATGCCAGGTCTGACGTCAGAGTCCGACGACCTTGCAATGGTCCCAGTCTCGTCGGAGCCGGAAAATCACCCGGCGGTCATCTATCCTCTCCATCACGGTCTCAAATCCCCGATTCATCGACTCTCCATTTCCTGGGCGCGTGGCAACACTCTCCAAGTCTCAGTTCTCGGGAAACCTCAGTTGGACACGGCGACAGACGTAGACGGCCGCGAGGGTGGCGGCGGTAGAGTGGTGGAGGTGAAGCTGAGTAACAGCGGAGATGAGGAAGTTGATGCCGCAAGATGGAGGAGAATAGCTTACGGTTCCGTCACTCCTTTCGCGCTTCTTCAGAGCCGCAAACATTCTCTGTCTGCTATGTCGTTGGATAACCCTCCTTACAAGGCACAGTGGTAAAATTGTGTAACTTAATTTAGCTCTATACCAAATGCACTCTATATTGTGATACGTGTCTGGATTTAAAATGTAGTTTATAAAAAAGCAAAAAAATTTAACTTTGGAATTAGTTACAGAGGATTGAGGAAGACTAACTGCGTGATACTTGTGTTTTCTGAATGTTTATGCAATTTATAATTTGTTATCAAGTAAAATGAATTTCATTTATAATGGAAAAGCTCCTTTATATAAGAGGTATACCAAAAAAAGAGAACCGCAAAAGGATTTGATTCTCTACCAAAGATACCCAATCTTCTGTACGAATAGGAATCTCATGGGTGCACCAAAAAAGCATATGTATGAAATCAAACTCTTTTAAGCCCTCCTGTTTTTCTTTTTCCATGCAATTCACATAAGTTCTAATGGAGCAACATTCCACCCCCTGTGTTCTTCTCGTCCATCTTCTAAAAGTCTAGCTAAACGGAGCATTTTTCATAGTGCATGATATGGTTCATTGTAACTGAAACCATCTCATAATCTCCTATTACACACGTGAATTTACCTGACAATGCAGTTGTAATGAGCCATGTCTTCTTCGAATAGACACGAAGCACTAGCTAACTGATGTAATCCTTCTTTCGCTTAGATTTTCACCTGTTAGAGTTGCTTCCTTCACTGCCAACCAACAAAAAGGTACACCTTTATTGGCACACTAGGAACCAAATTGACTGATGAGAGATGCCCGACTTCCCTCTGGCTAGCAGCTTGATGTAGTTTTTACTGCGAATTATCCACCTTCTTCTACCTTAAAGAGTCCTTTCTAGATCTTATTGGTAAGGTTTGTTTATCGTTTCAAGCAGACTGTGAAATTCTGCTGATCTCCCCATCATGAAAGTTCCTTCTAAGTGTAAGATCCCAAAGCACACTCCCGTCGTGTAAACTCGGAGCTTTCTAGACTTCTATCTCTTTTTGGCACAAAACTCGGCAGATGCTTGGAAGTGTGATCCTCAACATGTACTTTTGCATCACATGTTACCTGAGAACTAACCTTGCTTCTGTCTCCTACCCTGAATGAGATATTTAGGCAAGTTTTTGGCAGTGGTGGGCCTGTGGCTGAAACCTTCTGTATAGGATTTGCAGGACTCCTTAGGTAGTTAGGTCATATATGAATGATGTGATGGGTCAATTTTTTGAAGTTTGGGAGTTGATCTCCTTTTTCTTTTGAAAATTGGATTTATTTATCTGAGAACTACATAAAATATACTTTAAGTCACAATTTTGAAAACTAAAAATATTTAGAAAATGAAAGAATCATTGTCAAATAAACAGTTGTTTGGCTCTATGAATAGTAATGATGTTGTATAAAATGGGACAGAGGACGTCTGTGATTAACGTGGGTGAGGCAACCAGTTAAAACCAAATATCCGATAGTTGCTTTCCTTAATGGCTGCCTGCGTTCGAGTGAACTGAACTTTTAGTGTGGAGCATGTGTTAGTATAAGAAGTTGTAAAGCTGGGGACTATATTGCGCTTGCTTTTCAATGATTCCTGGTAGGAACCTATGCAGAGATAAGTCTTATCTTCTAGAAGTAAATCATGTCACACCACCTAAGAGGTGATTGACTAAATGTTTCTTCACGGCTCTTTGCTTTAGTAAACTCTAAGCTCTGTTTTGGACTGTTTCACTTCACACTTAAAAAAGAGAGGAAAAGAATACAATTTCTTTCCTTGCATTTTTTCTATAACCACGGTGTCCGGACCAGCTTGTGTGCACCTAGACTAATTTCGCGGGGTACCTGCTATCTCCCACTAGCAAGGATTGGGATTCGATCCTGAGACCTCATGGTTCTCAACCCACTTCATTGACATCTAGGCCTCTTGTTCATTTGTATATACTTGCCAACTTCCAGGATTTTTTCCCAATCCAATTGCTCGTGATGCAATTTTGAAAAATTTTGATGCTGAAAAACAGAGGATTTATCCTTATCAAAAAAGTTAGAGGTCCAGAGGATCTATTTTCTCCCCTACTACAACAGAAGAGTTCCATGTCACATAAGCTTGAAGTTCATTTCTCTATTAGAGACCTGAGAGAGTTTTAATCAGCACTATAACGGCTTGAGTGGATGTGTCCTTTCATTGGGTCACTTGTTGACAGCTGTTGCATTTTCGGTGTAAAATCAGGTGGGAGCATGTCATAGAGTACAGCAAAGAGATAAATTCTCTGCTCAGTGATCGAAAATCACCTCCTAGATCAATTATTGAAGATCCCAAGTCGGTAGTAAACGTGAGTAATTGTCAATTGTCATCACACATTTGTTTTGGATGTATGCAGACTCTCAGCTTAGCTATAGTATTTATCTGGTGGCTGTCTGTGCATGTTAGGAAACTGCAGAGCCGATGTGTTTGAAAGCCGCGTGGGAGCTTCTGGAGATATTTTATGTAGACAAGCAATCACAATCCTGGATTCCTGAACGTTTGCTAGATTGGTTAGCTGTATGTTTTTTCTATTTTATGCAAGTTTCCTTGATTTTCTCTGACAGATGTCAGATCTCATACTCTGTGGAGATATACCATTCTTCCAACTTAATGCACGTTTCATTCAACAGGACTACGATCCTTTATTCTCGGGAACTGTACCCACTATTCATTCAAAGCTTGTGGATTTTCAGCAGGAACTTGCTGGCGTACAGGTGTTGTTGTCAATTGATTTCCCTGTGAACTTTACATTCATTGGACCTATCGAGTGATAAATTATTAGTCAGAATTTAGGTATTATATGTTGACTGGATATGGATATAAATGTAGAAATTAAAATTTAATTGTATTTAAACAGGAATGAGTCCAAAAGTAGAGTGGATATTACCATTTGAAAAATTTAAACTTTCTTTAATGAAAAGTGGCAGAGTGATACTTCTTTCATGGGTAGGATATTCAAAAGATAATCATTTGTGTAACTAAAATTACTTTTAGGAAGTGGATTTTGGCACAATACAAAATAGAAATTAGGATAGTTATACTATGACGGGAGGCGTAGCCATTCCATCTTTCTATGCTCATTTCCACTTAATTTGCTCATCACAGGTTGTTGAAGAAGATCCTAACTACTGGGAAGCAATAGCATCAGCATTGTCAATTGGCTGGCTGGGAACTGTGGTAAGCATATCATTTTTGGATGGATATCAACCATCAGAAGTGTGCATTCGAGTTTTGTTGCTTGTAATTTATATCAGGATTTTGTTTAAGGAGCATACATAAGTCTATAGTTGCCAATTTTACAGGCAAAATTGCTGCGCTTGCATGGCTCTTACCGTTTTGATCAGTTAGCTAGTCGCGAGGTAAGAATTTTGAACTTAACCTGCCAATTTTTGTTTTGAACTTATGATCAGTGGCTGTGTAGCATACTTTAACTCAACCTCGAGTATTCTCATAACATCATATTCTGTACCTACCTGTCTCTCGGTAAATGACCTGTACATCAGTTAACTTGGGAACAGTTCTTTCTGATGAAGAACTTGGGAACAGTTCTTTTTGATGAAGAACTTGGGAACAGTTCTTGCCTTTTCCGTATATATGATATACCTAATCATGGACTAATGAGTTGTCTTTTCAGAGCTTTGACACCTTATTAGTCCTTTTACCTTTTCTATTAATTTCAAAGTCCATAACTCTTTGCTTGAATCAATTTGCTTTTTTGGCCTGAGAGATCTAGTTATAGGATGCGGTGCTATTTAGGATGATAAAGTGGATTTGCTTATTCTTTTTGTGTCACATTATGCTTTCGTTAGCTTTTATTTGGCATATGTTGCCTAGTGGTCAATGAGAACAATGAGGTCTCAGGTTCAACTCCTAGCGGAGGCAAGAAACACTAAGGTGATTTCTTTCCATCTGTCTAAGCCTTGGTGGACAGTTTTACCCGGTATCTGTGCTGGTTGGAGGTAGCACGTACCCGGTGGAATTAGTCTAGGTGTGCGCAATCCGGCCCGGACACCACGGTTATAAGAAAAACAGCTTGAGACACTTTTATCCACCCTTTAACCCCTCATCTTTAGCATCGAGTCAGGACGGCATTATAATTTTTTTTGATGGAATGATGACAATATAAGTTTGAGTAGGAACTATTTAAGTTATGATGATTACGACGTTATAATTTTGATCTGGAACTGTTTAAGTTAAGATGATTACAGGTAATGAGTCTCTGTGGGTAGAGGACTCTCTATAATTGTGTTGAGGAAGCTTTAATTTGTTGGTGCAAGTGACAGTAATATCATCAGGCTAAATCTAGGTAATTGGTCACCTGATGATGGAGGAGCTGGTGACTGAAGCCCCCGGGAATGGCAGCTATGAAAATTATTTATTTTCATTTACCAGATAGTTTCTGAAGTTACCCTTCCCCCAAAAAAGGGTTCTGAACTAGGATTACAGCTTTCCTGTTTTTCTTTTTAACCTGTTTGATTTTTGCTCTTAAAAGACAGAGAATGGACTGGTTGAAGCAGTTGCTGTCCTTATATCCAAGATGCCTAGAATGCGTCCTAATCTGAGAGAAGAAAATTTAGGAGAGTGTTACAAAACCAAGCCTGATTTCATGAAGGTAATTTAGGCCTTTGCTAATGATCAGTGGCCGTTACTGGACAACATTTAATGCCTTTTTCCTGTTAGGCTTGGGAGAAGTGGAGGGCACAAATGACTAAACTGGACTGCAGTTCGTACTGGCTTCAATGTGATCACCAGCAGACTAGAGAAGGGCTAAAAAATTTGATCCAGATCATGTTGGGAAATCCTAGTGTTCTATCAAATGCAACTTTCAACTGGATGGAGCTTTTTATATCCCATTTCTTGTACGTTAGGCCATTTACTGCGGTCAGTTCCTTTTTCAGATTGACCTAAACATCTAAGGTCACTTGGGTTGAGTCACTTTGTTGCACAATCATCCAAAAGTAGAGAGCAAGACGATTCTGTTGCTGTTGCATTTGCACTTAAAATACACATTCTATTTTTTGTTGTGTAGGGTCTAGAGAGCATGTACAATTTAGCTCAGAAGTGCATGCAATTAAAACCAATTTCCAGCCCCCATAAGCTGTTTGGTCTTGTACTTGGCATTCTTGGAGAAAATACTGAGGTGAGCCACTCTAAAGAACTAGTTATAATTTTAGTTCATGTTTAAAATTAGTGCAGAACTCATGAGCATGTCTTATCGTTTTAGGTTGTTCTAGCAGAGTGCTCAAGATCATTTGGCCCATGGTTTGTTAAACCTTCTCTTTCTATGTATTCTTTTTGGGTGGCTTGAGCACTGAAGGATTTTGTTCTGTCTAATTCATCTGATGCAAGTTCTTTTTTTCACCTCTCAAGGATGATGGCACATGCTGTAGAGTTGTTGACAGCTGGGAGCACTCATGCGGAAATTCTTTTGCATGAAGAGCGGTCCAAACTGGGGGGAATCAGCATAGAAGAGCTCCATAAACTTGTATATGCACAAGTTCTGTCTTCTCATGCGTTCACATGGCAAGTATGTGTGGATGCAAGCTTGAGCAAATGAATGCCTGATATACTTGTACTTATGTACTACTCCCTCCGATCCATTTTATGTGGCATTATTTCCTTATTAGTCCGTTTCAAACAGAATAAAACCTTTCCATGTTTGGAAAATTTTCTTACTTTATACTTCCCATTCTACCCCTAATAGCATGCTTTTATAGCGAAACAGAGATCTCACGGCAATGTTTAAGACCACAAGATCCAAAAGTCTTTTTTTCTTAAACTCCGTGCGCAGTCAAACTCTGCCACATTAATTGAAATGGATGGACTATTACTTAAATCTTCATTTTATCTTCCTGTACATGTGTAAGGTTCAGTTTTCATCCTAATAAAGGAAATAAAAGACATGAGTGAGATTCGACATGGGTACATTGTATGTCCCCAAAACATATAGGAAAATAGAACTTTAATGTTTCTGGATGGAGACGACCTATATTTACAATTACAATTGAACCTTGAAATGATGGTTATCTAGATGCTGGAGAGTTTTTACCTATTAACTGCCTTGTAAAGTTTGGATACATCATGGAATTTTTATAAGCTGCTTTTGCTGAACCTGTATACTTATCAATCTGTGGAGAAGTGCAATACCGGTTTCTGAAAACTTCAGTTTATATTTGGTTCTTCTACTCATATGTTTTGGATCTTTGTTTTGCTCACTTTCCTCCAGATTACTCCAATATACTTGACTTCATGCATAAAACAAGGGATTGGATTATTGGAGAATTTGCTTTACAAGCAGCCTGTACAGCATAGTCAAATTCTGTTAAAGGTACAGCTTCTGGGGTGTCTTTTCTGTTGGTCACTCACCCTCATGACTTTGCTCTAAAAAATCCTGCTCTACAGCCTCGTTTCAATCTAGAGGTTCCTTATTGATGCTTGCTTGGTTATATTGCTTTTCGATGCAGAGTATAGAGATCTGCCGGCTGTATGAACTTGACACCATAAGTTCAAACATAATGAGGGTATGTCATGATATTATTCACATTGACTATCTTTAATTTCTAAGGTGTAGTCCTTTATTAAGCACAGTAATATGGGTACTCTGATGCGATTCCCCTGTAATGGCATCTATTTGAATTTTGTGATTACTTTGAACCTATAAGTGCTTCATTTATCTCATACTTTTCATTAGATTGCTGGTATGCATCACTGGAAACATGGGAGAAAAGGCTCTGGTGTCTTTTGGCTGCAGCAAGCTCGAGATGAATTTCGTTTAAACAGAATTGCCAAACAGTTATTTGATTTCGTGGGGAAGTCAGTTTCTGATGAAGGATTCAAGGTTGTTACTACTCAGTTATTGTGGTTGAGTGTCTTGTCACATATTTTCTTAATACTTGTGCAACTGTGTTAATGTTTCTGTCTGTAAATTGAATTTTTTATATGTTATGTATGCTGAGTGTTTCTGTCTTATTTCTTTTCCCCAAAACGAATACATTCTTTTGTGTGCTGGTTTGATAGATGATTTAACTGTTTTAAGTACTTTGCAGGCAGGTTTACGTATCTATATATTCCCAGTTATCCGAGTATGTGCATTATGAAGAGCATGCTATCTAATGGGTGAGATTGAGGTCTAGAAGAAATTTAGAACCTTTCTTATGCCAAATGTGGGTACACCACTTGCACATGTATAGATGCTGGTAGGCAAGCTTGACCAGGCATTTTTTGCTTGATTGAGCAGCTTAAGCAATGTTGGTGGTAGAATATGGTGGAGAAGCCCTTGAATATTGTTCGGATGTGATTCATGTAATGTTAGACACCTCAAAATGCTAAAAGTCCAATCTTGCTAAGCTTGTTCTTTCTTAGGATCTGGGTTAAAGTGAATCCAGCCCCCAGCTAAAAGAGAAAAAGAAATACTGCAGACGGAAAATAGCCTGAAAATAGCTTGTCGGCTGATCTAGTAAAATTTGGTAGAATTTGTTCTCCACTACAGTTATCTCTATTTTGATTATCATGTATTTGATTGCTGTGTCTGAGATATTTGCTCTAAGACGAAGTCTAGTAGTTTGGTTCTGAAACAGCATCTCTTTTCTCATAGATTTAGCTGGCTTATTCTCTTTGATCATTCTATTATTCTTTCCGTGCAGCAATGGGAAGGTCTCATAGAGTTGCTGGGTTCTGAGCCTAGAACTGCTGGCGGTCTTGAGTTTCTGAACAAGTAATTGCTTAATACTTGACCCTCTTTGAATCATGGATGGCACCTGTATATACAGTTTCAAAGTGTTTCAGATCTTTGAAATTTTTACGGTTACTGCTGCACAGGTACAGGGATTTTAGGAGATCCCTGCTGCAGGTTCATGGTGATACACCCACTGATGGTGCTCGTAATGCAGCTGAAGCTCTCGTCTCTGTATGTTCGATGGCTTTTATAATACTGCAGATTAACATTAGAGTGATGTAAAATTTAGTTTGTGGGTGTATAAAATTTCGCATTTGTGATTGAGGCCTTGCTGATTGACAAGATTTACACTTGAGTGTCTATCATAAGAAACTGAAAATAAATTAACAGAATTTGTTTATGAAACCCGGCAGCCTGAATGTTGTGTAGGTTCGATTGAAATAGTTGCCAGGGTAGGTGCAAGTATCTCTATTACCTGAAAAAGAACCTTTTCTTCTGCCGCATCGGACTCAATATTTTGTTATTTACTCTGCAGCTCATGAAAAATCCTTCCACGCCTCAACGCTTTTGGTTACCTCTTCTATATGATTCAGTAAGTACCTTATCTGTTTATTGCATTTAGTTCTTTGCTCAACTTGCCAGAGTGAACTATTTTGCTTTTCAGAATCATGGAATAGCCAAATAGGTCATAACAATATAAGGTAGGAACCTCATAATTAAAAGATCTAAGATTCAATATACCATCTTTATGCGGATGTTTGGCCAACTAAAGTTGTTAATTGTTGTATAATATGTTGACTTCTTAAGCCAATTAAAAAGGTTGACAGGAATGGAGATGATGTTAATGAGCGGGATCTAGATTGCTAGCGGAAGCAGATGTAGCATGTTTGCTACGGGTTTAACCAAACCCAGCATTTTCGACAGAGTATATAACTATGTAAATGTTATTAAAATTTTCACAAATGTTAAATTCCATAGCCATAATTCGAAAAGTGCAATATGTTCAATGCTAAGATTTTAAAGGTCGAAGCTATCAAGCTTAAATCTTGGATCTGCCTCTGATTGCTTGTAAATATTCAGATGTGTAATCTCTCTTTTCTTTTCTTTTTGTTTTCAGTTATTAGTTTCCTGTAGCTTCTTATTTCTTTTACTTTGAGCAATGCTTCATGCGGTTTTATATTACTTAGCTCCCGCTCAGGTGCTAAATTCTTGCTTAATTTAAAAAAGAAAAAGAAAAGAAAGGCTGGTCTGTGGGTATGTGTTAAAAATGCTCCTTTTCCTTGTGTCTTAAAACATGAATCTTAGTTCATATCAAATTAGATACTAAATTCCAAACCCATAATTCGAAAAGTGCAATAGGTTCAATGATAAGATTTTAAAGGTCAAAGCCAACAAGTGTACATCTTGGATCTGCCTCTGGTCTCTAGTAAAAGTGCAATAGGTTCAATGATAAGGTTTTAAAGGTCAAGCCAACAAGTGTACGTCTTGGATCTGCCTCTGGTTGCTAGTAAATATTCAGATGTGTAATCTCTCTTTTCTTTTCTTTTTGTTTTCATTTTGTTAGTATCCTGTAGCTTCTTATTTCTTTTTAGTTTTGAGCAATGCTTCATGTAGTTTATATTAGCTCCCGCTCAGACGCTAAATTCTTGCTTAATTTAAAAAAGAAAAAGAAAGGCTGGTCTGTGGGTATGTGTTAAAAAACTGCTCTTTTTCCTTGTGTCTTAAAACATGAATCTTAGTTCATATCAAACTAGAAAAGCTAATATGCTGTGCAGGCACTTCTGCTAAAGTCTTTCAGTTAACAGTATACCACAGCTGTTGGAAAATGGGTACATGTGGTGGTGAGGAGGGGGTTGGCGATCTGTTAAATTAAGTCAAGGCCAAAAGTTAAACATGCTTTCAGATATATATGTTATTAATAGCTGGTGCATGTTTCATTTTTGACATCATTACTTTACCTCCTTTTCTTCCTGTGCAGTTGAAATTGTTAAACTGGCAGGAGCGACCTTTGCTTAATGTCTCTCAAACTCAGCTTCTCTTGAATAAACTGCAAGAGTTGTCCATGGCAAGATTGAGGCCAGACTTTGTTGAAGCTGACTTGCCATCTGATTCCTTGAGCTCTGTCAGACTGGCACTTGCCACTAACCTGGGTCGTGCAATCCTTGAAGAGTGACTTTGTTGCCCCTGTTTCTTGCTTGAGAGGTGACCAGTTAGATCTTTTCAAGATGCCTCAAGTGTTATATTATCTCCTCTTTCCTGTGTTAATAGTCTGTTCCGGGAGTGCAGTTAATTTTCAAAATGGTGCGGAACCTTGTGTCACTGCTTGCAGCAGAAATCATGAAACTGCAACTGTTCCATTTTGTTATCTGTTTTCTTTACTGGAAATGCTGACTCGAAGAGCTACATGTGTGCTGGCACTACATTGTGAATGGTACAGCCCGATCTGAGCCACTTGTGTCACCTACATGTTGCAGAGCTTAGTAGACAGCTAATCAGTTGGTATAGACAAGAAGCATTTGGATGTGGAGAGCTTCAGGCTATGGGAGACTAACCGTGGCTTGACAAGAGTGAAGATGACTGTATTAGTATAAGGTTTCTTGTTTTTCTGCTCCGCTGCTCCTACTTAGGGATCCTTTTTTTTAAATTTTGTTTTGGGATGGGGAACAGGGGAGTGGGGTTATCTATGTATATGCCTTTGTAAACGACCACCAAAACCCCTGCCTGTTGCCTGGTTTAAAATTGTTGAGATTGATTTATTCCCTATGATAGAACTCTGAATATAAAAATTAATGTCAGTGTTCCTGGTTGGACTGGTGTTTATAAGATTGAAAAAACTGCTACATGCTCAATGAAGACTGCAAAAGTATGCCTTACATGACGGAATTGGCATTGATTTTCCACCCACCTCTGCTCCTAGAATGGGACAATATAAATCCGGATTTAGTGTGATTGGCTAATTTGTTATAAGCATGTTCTATATGTTTTTTGGCCATTTATATCGTTATTATGATCCTCATACTAATGGACCTGGAAATTGAGGAAATAATATTCACAGAATACGCATTTATCAGTGTGAATTGACACAATTTGGTTTATTGTGTCCATTTCAATTGTCAACTTCTGTCGTTTGACATTACTTACTTTCAACTGCCTAATAAAAATATATATAGATTTTGCTAATATACTACGTGGCTGTTGTAAGTTAGCCTTGTATTCACTTTTGATTTTCTTCAAATGCACCCAATAGTACTTTAAGAAGACATTAATGAGGACTTCTTCGTCTCTGTCAATTCTTCCTTCTACACTACTAGATACCATAAGCCAATGTCTCCTCTTATGCAGTGTAGAACTCGTTTTGGTTGCTCCAAGGTGAAAAATGGATGGGATTTAAGCATATATCTAGATTCAAACTTGTAGCTTACTCGTTTGGCTGCTCCAAGGTAGAAGGCTAAAATAGCTTGCTAGATAGTTCTTTCTATACTGAAATGTGAAAGAGCCAAGACATTGAAATTATACCAACAAAACCACATCACTTTAAGTTAACTTATTACAATCATCAAGAAGTTCATCTATAATTTAGAACTACTTTTCAACTCTTTGTTTTACATATCATTATTTGGATAAGTAAAATATCTATGAAAGCATTTTGTATTACAATTTGGATATGCACAACCAAATAAATACGTGATACAAGATGAGGTAAACTTAAATTTGAAACCCAAGCATTCTGCATTACTTGTTTCATTGACTAGATTCTGAAGGCAGAGGACTCTGACACTCCAAAAAGATCTCCTGAATCCTTTTTTTCAACAGCTTATCTTTGATACCGGCTAGCATACTACGATAAAACATCTCCAATCGAGCAAGCTTTCCACGATCCGAGGCCTCCAACATGTTTTCCCACTCCTTCGCGATGTCAAATGAACCTCCACTCCGTAAAGAAGCTGGCATATCTTGCTCTTCAAAAGGTTTTCCAAAGATGGCACCATGAAGAATGCTAGCATACCTTTCCATTAGCGACAGCTTAGATTGAAGAAGCCTTACATCCTCCGCTGCCATAGACAGTTTCTTCTCCAATTCTATCACATCTTCAGGTTTCTTTTCTTTACTACTTATATCGTCACCATCCTTTAAACTCTGCCCTCTAAAATCTGCATCTAGAGGTGGCCACAGTGCCATAGTTGGAGAGTAGCAATCGATCATCTTGCCATTTCCAAGGACACCACTCCATCCTCTACCCCAAGACCACATCTTATAGCCAGCATCTGCCAGAAGAATGGTATGGGCTGCACCGCAGGCAACTTGAACAGGTTCTGGAAATTTCGGCCCATATCGCCCAACACAGGGAATCAACAGAGGATAAATTGCATCACCTGCATCACCTCCACTATAACTTGCTTCAGGACATAGACCAAGGCCTTTCTCCATTCCCCATGACCACACATCTCCAGCAGATGAGACAACACTGGTGTGAAATAAACCACAGTCAACAGAAATGAGAAATGCACTCCGCGGTAACTCTTTCACTGGTTCAGGAGATAAAAGACTTTGGGTTGTCCCTTGACCTAATTGCCCATTATCTCCCAGGCCAAATGTCCAGCATACACTCTCTAACATGTCACTTGGACTTCTCTGAGCTAGTAAAGCTGTGTGGAAAGCGCCACATGATACCTCATACACTGACCAAGGGAATACTGAATTAAAGGGCTCAATAACTTCAGGATACTGTCTGCTCTCCCTATCTCCCAAACCTAACTGCCCGTGGCTGTTGCCACCCCAAGAATAACAAACAAGATTACTCCCTTTGTAACCTTCCCCAGCAGTGACTAATGCGACAACATGCTCATTTCCACATGCCACCTTAACAACTGTGTGTCCATGGAAATTCCAGACAGGTATTGGATTACAACTGCTAGTAAGAGAGAATTCATTTTCAGTAGACTTGCTTTTCTGTGGTTCAGGAAAGTTTCCCCACAGCCATAGAGATCCAAGATTGTCTATTGCCGCTGACATCATTCCACCACCTTTAACTGAAGAAATCTACAGGAGAAAACAGAAAGATTAACCACTGTCATCAACCTGTTTCTTCTTTAAATTGATCAACTTGTTTCTTACCATCAGTTTCTTTCTCTCTGAGCCACTAGCTGATGAATTAGGAGAACCTAACTCAAGGAATCCCTCCAATAAATGAGGAACCAAAGAATTTTCTCCATTGAAACCAAGTTGTCCATCCATTTAAAAGTCAAGGAAAAGAATGATTAATAACACATGCACAAGATAATTGCAAATTCAATACGTTAAAGCTAATAATACTGAATGGTCACCATATAAACTATAAAGTGCGATGTAATTGCAAAGGAATCCTCTCAAGGATACAGACATTGTATCCCCAGCCCCATACTGATCCATCATCTGCAAAAACAAAGAAATGCCAAATAAAATAAAAGGAAAATGGTGTCTGGGAAATCATGATAGATTAACAATTTTCCTTGTAAACAGCACTATTTCTCTTGTTAGTATCAGTGTTCTTAATAAGCCAAATTGCAATGACCTGAATCTTATTGTTGCCTTCCATATTAGCACAAATCTTATGGTTCCACAATTTTAGCATTTTGGAAGAAGCAAGCAAATAATCAGAAGATCAGGGCAAAGTGTTCTAAGAAAATTATCACTTATAATATAAATGCTCTCAATCCCTCACTATACTACTGTTGAGCATTCACAGAGATCCTACCTGCTGGTAGCTGCCGAAAACAATGATAGGGAATCATTGCAAACAGCAAGACACTTGAGAGCCAAAAACTGTGTTTCCCTATTCCTTTTTCCTTGACTGCTCTAGTCATTCTAAACACAACAGGAAGCATCCTCTGGTGTTACTTCAATTAAGATCACCTTATCTTCACTATGACAAGATCTGATTTCGAATTATCCACGCTTAGTTTGACCTTAAAAGAGGAGTGAACTGTGGTGGTTGAATCCTCCAATAGGGGTCATAGGCCATACCAAATTACCTAATATGTAGGTCTTTTCAATTTTGTGGAACACAAGTGAATTTGCAGTTTCCTACCTAATCTAAAAACACAATTCAGTAGACAAGGCTTCTCTAGGTGAAATATAATATTCATTGAAGAGAGCTTGAGATAGTTCTCCTCCTGTCCCGTTTTATGTGATGCATTTTCTATTTTAGTCTGTCCAGAAAAAATGATACTTTTCTATATTTAGAAAGAATTTAACTTTAAACTTCTCATTTTACCCTTAATGAGATGATTTATAGGCACACCGATATGTATAGCTTATCTGAGACCACAAGTTTCAAAAGTCTTTTTTCTTTCTTCAACTCCATGCTTAGACAAACTACATCACATAAAATGGGAAAAAGGGAGTAATGTATTTTCTAAGATAGAAAAGACTCAAAAGAGGTCTGCGTACACACTACCCTCCCCAGACCCCACTATGTGAGATTATACTGGGTATATTGTTGTTGTTGTTGTTGTAAAAGACTCAAAAGGCTTAAAAATAAAAATAAAAATCGAAGAAAAAAGTTCGTCAGAATCACGATAAGCTTCCATTAAGTGTGGATTCTACGACAAAACAACAACAACAACAATCCAGTAAAATCCCACTAGTGGGGTCTGGGGAGGGTAGTGTGTACGCAGACCTTACCCCTACCCGAAGGGGTAGAGAGACTGTTTCCGAAAGACTCTCGGCTCAAGAAAACAAAAAAGACAAAAGGAGACAATATTAGTATCACCATAGAAATCATAGGCAAATTAGGAACAACATGAAATCCAGAAGAAAGATGCAAAGTAAAGCAAAAACGATAGCTAGTAAATAGGTCATGACTGAAAAGCGAAATAGTAATGCATAACGTTGCCACTATCTGTCTTAGACAAAAACCCTACCAACCTAGTCTCACAAAGGTACGAAGTAAGGTAAGAATCAACTACCTCCTAACCTAGAACTCTAATACTCGACCTCAGTGGCGAAGCCAGGAATTTACTCAAGGGTGTTCAAACTTGAACTAAGTAAAAAACAAAACAGACAAAGGGTGTTCAATATATGTTATGTACCTCTAAAACTTAATATTTTACATATATACGCAATGTAATTTTCCGGCAAAGGGTGGTCAATTGACCACCCTAAACAAAGTGTGGCTTCGCCCATGCTTGACCTCCACATCTTCCTATCAAGTGTCATGTCCTCGGGAATCTGAAGCCTCACCATATCCTGCCTGATCACCTCTCCCCAATACTTCTTAGGCCGCCCTCTACCTCTCCTTGTGCCCTCCACAACCAGCCGCTCACACCTCCTTACCGGAGCTTCCGGGCTTCTCCTCCTAACATGCCCAAACCATCTGAGCCTCGCTTCCCGCATCTTGTCATCAATGGGAGCTACGTGCACCTCCTCCCGAATATCATCATTCCTAATCTTATCCATCCTAGTGTGCCCACACATCCACCTCAACATCCTCATTTTTGCTACTTTCATCTTCTGGATATGTGAGTTCTTAACAGCCCAACACTCAACCCCATACATCATGGCCGGTCTAACCACCGCTTTATAGAACTTACCTTTGAGTATCGGTGGCACTCTCTTGTCACACAGGACCCCAGATGCTAACCTCCACTTCATCCATCCTACTCCAATACGGCGTGTGACATCCTCGTCGATCTCCCCTCCCCCCTGGATAACCGACCCAAGGTACTTGAAGCTACCTCTACTTGGGATGACCTGTGATTCAAGCCTCACATCCACGCCTACTTCCCCCGGCTCAGCGCTAAACTTACACTCCAGGTATTCTGTCTTCGTCCTGAGCTTGAAACCCTTATACTCAAGAGCCTGTCTCCAAACCTCCAGTGTCTCGTTAACACCGGCTCGCGACTCATCAATCAGAACTATGTCATTGGCGAATAGCATGCACCATGGCACCTCCCCTTGAATATGGTGTGTTAACGCATCCATCACCGGGGTGGATTCTACGACAAAAGTTGCTACTAAATTGTATTGCAAAAGATAAATACAATAATTTGATATGTAAAATTCAGTGCTTCAAACTGCTTATGGAACGACCACATCTCATACACTAGTGGATTAATGAATTGTGGTAACACTAGGTCATATATACAATAGTGGATCCACGAGTTCCTAAGCCGAGGGTCTTCCGAAAATAGCCTCTCTACCTTCTTAAGATAGAGGTAAGGTCTGCATACAATCTACCCTTCCCAGACCCCATTAGTGGTATTACAATGGGTTTGGGTTTGTTGTTGTTGATCCACTATGGGTTCAACAGGTTCAATAGAACTGACGGCTATAGGCTTGATTCTCTATGTGTGCTTGTGTTAAAAACAAGTATTTTGTGTGTGTGTGTATGTATTTAGAACAACACTCTCAATTCAGAACCCACACCGTTCAAATTTTTTTATCCTCCCGCATATATATACATTTTATAGAGCAACTTAACTATTCTGAAAGAAAAAGCAAAAGGGAAAGCCAAAAAAAAGGGAATTGCACAAGAAGCTCTTGACAACCACAAAATTCATTTTCAAAATAGTGACAGATGAACTTCAAGATTTCACTGCCAAATTAAAATACTTTTTGGAACTAATCGAAACTTTGTCTATGTGGGATATGTCAACAAATTAAACTGAATTTAATTGTAATAGGGAAAATGTTTGAACTTTGCAGAAAGAAAGAAAAAAAAGAGAATGTTTGAGAAAAAAACTGAAATAATATAACTTAACTATCTAATATAATAAAAGGAGAAAATGAGTAATTACCTGCAACAGCGAGACTGTGATAAGCACCAGCAGCAATACCAACAATCTTGACCCTCTTTTTGTCTCCATCAGAATCAGCCGGTTCAAAGTCGATTCGAACCGGGAATAACTGGTCAGCTTCTGAACCGGTACCAAGTCGGCCGAATGTTCCTCTACCCCAAGCATACACATCCCCATTTGCTATCCATTTGCAAATTATAACACAGATTTCAGATAAATATATATATATATTACTGAAGAATAAAAGTGTTAAATTTAAAGATTGTTTAAGTTACCAGTGAGAGCAAGAGTATGAGCTTCGCCGGCGGCAGTTGCTATGATTTTGGCAAACAAGTTGCCCGATTCTGCTTCTGATTCCGCCATTTCTTTTCTTCCGGTGAAGTGGAAAGGGAAATGTACTCACATATGTTCAAACTGTTTTTATCTCTGAATTTTGGGCAATGATATCTGCTACTCTACTGCTATTACTGATTACTCCCATCCCTCCAAATATTTATATGACTCAAATTATTATTTTATACTACTATAAGTTTTAAACTAAATCACAAATATTTAGCTCCATAATAAGTGATCAATTTAATTTTTATTTTGAATTAAAATAAGTATTCATTTATATAATCAAGAAAAAGTTTAATTTATTTTTTCAAAATTACCCTTACGTACGTATCCCTAAAAAATCTTTTATTCCTCATATTAAATTATGCTGCAACATTTAATTAAGGGTAGTTTAATCACACCAATTATTTCTGTCTAGAATTTAGTATTTCCGTAATGGGTGTGCCCAAGGCAAATTAGTCGCTTATAGTGGACCGGAAGGAGTACCTCTTTAATATAATACTCCTATATGTGTAAAAATTCTGATATTTTCTAACTTGGAGTCAGACAAATATGGCAGGAAATAATTTAATAATTTTTTATAATTTGAATATAAGAAAATAAAAATTTCTGAATGATCTGACATAAAACTAGGAAATTTGTAAAAAGTCATATGAAAATGGAACTGATGGCCAAGGATACCATTTATTTTTCAAGTCCCATGACAAATATTTTTGTTTGGTAATTATTTTATTTTCTTAGTTATTTTTTCTCTTTTTAATGAAGTGTCCTCAATTTAGGCATGATATGGGAGAAACGAAGAAGAAATAATGGCTCTAATGATAAGAAAATTTAGCATGCAGAATTAAAACTATTGTGGGGTTAAGAAAATTCAAAATTTAAATTTTATAAGTTCAATCTTTAAGGTTTTTAATATTGAACATATTATATTTTTAAAATTATATGTTCAGACCTACTATGTGTTATTAATAAATTTTTACCTTAAATTTATATTCCACGTCGCATACACCTCTGCTTGTGGTAAGTTATTGTTCAATTCTCAAAGAACTTTCCTTCAATTTTTTTTTAATTATTTTTTTTTTATTATAATGTCGTCTCCTTTTATATTAATGTTATGTTAAACATTTTGTCTAAGTGACACGAGCTGATATCAAGAGAGGTCACGGTCTGAAGAGTCACAAGAATTTGTCCAATCAAATCTTACTTTTCTTTTATTCAGAGTTTATATACAATATCTCAGTTATAACGTATTTGCTAATTAATCAGCTGCTGTAAAAAGGTTTAGGACAAAAGTGGTTTTTTTTTTTTAAAAGAAAAGGAGAAGCAAAATAAAAGAATAACAGATAAGGATCATGTTATTTAAGGAATTTAGAATATTTAATTATTGACAGAAGTTATCTTTTGACTGGCAAGATTGAATAACAATGTAATTTTCTATGCGATAATTGATTGAATTTAGGGTTGAGGTAAGATAGTCAAATTTGATCACAATTCTTATAAAGATAAAGACGTACGGGATTCTCCTTCTGTCTAATTTGTTTCTCTCCTTTTTCTTTTCTTATTTAAAAGCTAGAATTATTTTTTTACTAGAATAATGGAGAGTAGTTACTGTAATTTTTGGTTAAGAAACAAGATATATTAATGTAAGTAGCAATTGTATAGATGATGACCTAGGGGTGTACATAGGTCGGGTTGGTTCGGATTTTGCAATTATCAAACCAAATCAATTGTGTTGGGTTATTAAATCTAAAGACCAAACCAAACCAATAAAACTCGGGTTTTTCAATCTCGGATTTTCTTGGTTTTTTGGGTTATTCGGGTTTTTTCGGGGTTTTTCTCGGTAAAATCTTCGTAGCACAAAATTTGTGCTCAAAATATTTCTTTAATCCTAGTAAGATACAATTATATAAGGTATTTTCCAAGAAAATAATACAAAATATGAGATGTATCATGGCATTATCCTAAAATATTCAACGATAAAGACAATAAAATTATGTAATATAAATATTGCTAATTAAAAAGCCATAATAAAAATAAACATAATCTAAAAGTACTAAGTCATGCTAAAATAAGTAGACTAATAAGAGAATATTAATTACATGAGTAAACGCTAAAGAAAAAATAAAAATAGGTTTTGCATTTTTATCTAAATTATTGCAAAACAAAAAATAGATATTCAATACATTGTCGTTCGTAGTATTAATTGAATGTCTTTTGTTAGCATTAATATTGATTTGATTTTGGTTTGAGCTTTGTTTAGCATTATTTAAGTTACTAATATTAATGGTTATAAAACTTATTGGAACATTCAAAAGTTCTAAGTTCAACCTTGAAATAATACTTTAAAAGATAAAATTATGAAAAAGTTTAAAAAATATTTGTAAATTACATCACAATAAGTATATTTATATATTAAATATATCTAAAATTTATATATATGTAATGTCGGGTTGGTTTGGTTTCGGTTTGACTTTCTTTAGTTAAAACCAAACCAAACCAATTATGGTCGGGTTTTTTTTTTTTTCGAACACCCAACCAAAGCAAATCAAACCAATAGTCGGGTTTTTTTTTTCTCGGTTTGACTCGAATTGTCGGGTTGGTGCGGTTTGTCGGTTTGCTTTAATTTGTACACCCCTACGATGACCTATCAAGTAGTGACTATCAGAATTTGGAAACTTGGCCAAATTAATCCAATAATATGACATCTGACTGTAAGAACGGATCGGATAAAATAGCAGTCACGTCATAAAAGTAGGCAAATACTTGAGCAATGGTATGGTGACCCATCATGGTTTGCTAACTAGATTAGGTTGGTGCTTTGACATGCAAAATTATTCTGCCTTTTTTCATATTTAACTTATAAAATGAAGTAGAAATTTGGAATTGAGAACTGTTTTGAGAGGTACTTCAAATGAAATAATAGATTCCATCACCCTCGATTTATTTGTCTACTCTTAGTTTGATATGGCTATTAAGAAAACAAACAAAGTAATTATGAATTCTTTACTACTCGTTAATCGTTATATTAATTATTATACGATAGTATTTGAAAGGGCTAGTCAACTATGTTTACTACTTATTCTCAAGAAACAAGTAGCTTACTTCTTTGTATCGTGCAAAATTTCACATGTTGCCAATCCTGCAATGAATAAGTTCACAAAATATATTAAAAGATCTTTTTTCACACCTAATTATAAGTATATTTATGAGGAAATGGTTGAATATAGCCCTTTATAATTTGAAAAGAAAATGATGCTACAAAGATCTTTTTGTTATAAATCTTTAGTAAATGTGGATGTCCATACTCTCACTCACTACTAGAAATTCGGCAAAAACTGACCAAGAAAAATCGACCAACTTTGGTCAGTAAAAAAACCGGCTAAAAACCGACCAAAGTTTGGTCGGTTTTTCAAAATATTTTAATTTTTAATTTTTTTTTTACGAAACCGACCAACTTTGGTCGGTTTTCTTTGGCGCAAAAATGCGGGAAACTATTTTTGAGTCCCGCGAAATTTATTTTTTAAGAAACCGGCCAACTTTGGTCGGTTTTTGCAATTAAAATAAATAAAAATTAATATTAAAAAGACCGACCAACTTTGGTCGGTAAATTCGGCCGGTCATTTTAGAAAACTGACCAACTTTGGTCGGTAATTTTACTTTTTTAATAAAACCGACCAACTTTGGTCGGTTATTTTCGTGCGAAAATACAATTAAAGAATATAAATAAATAAAAAAGACAATCTTAAAACAAAATGCACCAATGGTCTAGTGGTAGAATAGTATCCTGCCACAATACACACCCCGGTTCGATTCCCAGACGGTGAATCTTTTGATTACATAATTAAAATACCGACCAACTTTGGTCGGTTTTTTTTGCTATATTTTTTTTTTGAATTTAATTTACCGACCAACGTTGGTAGGTAATTTCCGACCAACTTTGGTCGGTATACTAAAGCGACCACCAAAATACCGTCCAAGCGTATTTGGTCGCATTTTGGTCGGTAATTGGCCATAACCGACCAAAGTTGGTCGATTTTTTTGGTCGCTAATTACCGGATTTCTAGTAGCGACTACTTTCACCCAGGATGTAAATAACCTCCCACTACTCATCACTATTATGATTGTAACTCCCACACCTTCATAACCCCTCCCCATGATTTTCCCCCATGATCTCAATTGTTAATGTCATGTTTAAGACAATTATTTTATAACCTTCTATGTAATAGTATAAATAGAGGCATGGAATGTGATATGGGATACACTTGAACATTTGATGAAATAATAAAGTTATCTCTTCTTCTCTTATTTTACTTATCTTCTTGTTTTACATTGTTACTTTGAGCTACATTTGTTTAATACGTTATCAGCACGAAGTTGAGCTCTTTTCGTTGTTCAGGTATATTTGTTCATTTTATTTTCTTCGTTGTATATTTTAATTTCATGATTAGTATCTTTAATATGCAGTTTTATAATTTCTCACATCTCTAGATATGAGTAAAAATAAAGAATTCTATTTTTCTTTATTTTAAGTTATTTTTATGATTGTCATGTGAAAGTTGCTAATTTTTATGTTAATAAAATTAATTGAGAGAAGAATACTTATCTTATGTTGTTCGATATTTGAAAATTGTGTTAAAGTTAGAAGAAAATTTTGTTCTAGTTAACATCAAAGATAGACTAATAATTTGAAGAAACAAATAGTATTCTTTTCTATGGAATTATCACTTTAGTGTATATAGATCACAAATTTGATATCATGTCGATTTTTAAGATTCTTTACGCTATTATCCTAATGATTTCTAATTATTTATCATCATTGATAGTTTTTACTATGTCGAATTTGTCAAAGCTTGAGTTTGTAGCACTTGACATTTCTGGAAAGAATTACCTATCATGGGTTCTCGATGCCGAGATTTAGTTAGCAGCTAAAGGCCTTGGTAACACCATTACTCAGGGTAATGAGGCATCAAGCCAAGACAAAGCGAAGGCCATGATTTTCCTTCGTCATCATTTGGATGAAGGTGTGAAGGTTGAATATTTGACAGTGAAAGATCCACTTGAATTGTGGACTGGCCTGAAGGAAAGGTATGATCACCTTAAGGCTACGGTATTGCCAAGGGCTCGATATGAGTGGATGCACCTACGGTTGCAAGATTTTAAGACCGTAAGTGAGTATAACTCTGCTGTATTTCGAATAACTTCCCAATTAAAATGTGTGGGGATGTTATGAATGATGAAGATTTGTTGGAAAAGACTCTTACAACTTTTCATGCCTCAAATATGGTATTACAGCAGCAATACAGTGAAAGGGATTTTAAAAAGTATTCTGAATTGATCTCATGCCTTCTGGTGGCTGAGCAACATAATACCCTTTTGCTGAAAAATCATGAAGCTCGTCCTACAGGGTCAGCTCCCCTTCCTGAAGCGAATATGGCAGCCAAACGTGATAAGTCTGAAAAAAACACAGAATAATAATCATGGCCACATGAATGTACATTGGCATGGCAATGGTAAGAGACGATATAATGGTCTTCATCGTGGTGGTCATGGCAAACGAGAGAATAATATGGGTTCTCAAAACAATCCTTCAAGAGGAAAAAGCGGTAACTGCCACCGCTGTGGCATGAAAGGTCATTGGAAAATTGAATGTCGTGCACCTGAGCATTTTGTCAGGCTTTATCAAAACTCCATCAAAAGAAAGGCAAATAATGTTGGAGCATCTTCTGCTAATGCCCCAGTGGAGTCTTACTTGATCTTTAAAAATGATTTTGAGGCAGGGCTTTCAAACAAAAATGATGACAATGCCCAGGCAAATCTTGCTTTGAATGATGATGATTTTCAAGGCCTCGATGATCTTACTCATTTGGAAGTTGAAGATGATGTTAGTTTTTTCGTATTTATCATGATGTATTTTTATTTTTTTTATGAAGAAATTAAAATTTTCCAGTATTCAATTGGATCCAAGATGAGTAATGAAGATTTATGTCTTTTGGATAGTGCTATAACTCACAAAATATTAAGAGAAAAGAATTCTTTTTCTTATTTGGTTATGAAAAAGACCTATGTTAATACAATATCTGGTAGTACAAAGTTGATTGAGGGCTCTGGAAGAGCGGCCTTATTACTACCCGGAGGAATGATATTAACTATTGATAATGCATTGTATTGTAGTAAGTCTCAAAGAAACTTGTTGAGTTTCAAAGCTATTCGCCAAAATGGCTACCATGTTAAGACATCAAACAAAGGAAAGGTTGAATACCTTTATATTACTACAATAAAAGTGGGGAAAAAATATGTGCACGAAAAATTACCCGTATTTTCTTCTGGGTTGTACCACACAAACATTGGTGTGGTTGAATCACATGCCATAGTAAACAAAAGGTTTACTACTTCTAATGATTTTATCATTTGGCATGACCGGTTGGGCCATCCCGCTTCTAACATGATGCGCAGAATAATAGAGAATTCAAATGGGCACACATTGAAGAACAAGAAGATTCTTCAATTTAAGGAATTCTCTTGTGCTTCTTGTTCTCAAGGAAAATTGGTTATTAAACCATCAACAGCTAAAGTTGGGATTGAATCCCCTGCATTTCTGGAACGTATACAGGGTGATATATGTGGGCCTATACACCCTCCATGTGGACCATTCAAGTATTTTATGGTCTTGATAGACGCATCTACAATATGGTCACATGTGTGCTTATTGTCAACTCGTAATATGGCATTTGCGAGATTGTTGGCCCAAATAATAAGGTTAAGAGCACAATTTCCAGATTATGCAATTAAGACAATTCGTCTTGATAATGTTGGTGAATTTACATCTCAGGCCTTTACTGATTATTGTATGGCCACTGGAATAAAAGTTGAGCATCTGGTTCCTCATGTTCATACTCAAAATGGTCTAGCAGAATCATTGATTAAACGACTCTAATTAATAGCTAGACCATTGCTAATGAGGACAAAACTTCCCCTTTCAGTGTGGGGACATGCTATTTTGCATGCAGCAGCACTTGTGCGCATAAGGCCAACCAATTATCATGAAGTCTCCCCATTACAGTTGGCTTTTGGTCAGGAGCCAAATATTTCCAATCTAAGAATTTTTGGATGTGCGGTATATGTTCCAATTGCTCCACCACAACACACAAATATGGGTCCCAAAGAAAGTTGGGAGTATATGTTGGTTATGAATCTCCTTCTATTATTAAATATCTAGAGCCTATGACGGGAGATTTGTTTACAGCCAGATTTGCTGATCGCCATTTTGATGAATCAGTTTTTCCAACATTAGGGGGAGAAAATAAACAACCGGAAAAAGAGATAGATTGGAATATATTATCTCTATCTTATTTGGATCCTCGTACAAATCAATGTGAACAAGAAGTTCAAAAGGTCATTTATATACAAAATGTTGCAAATCAATTGCCAGATGCATCTGCTAGCCTTCCACGGGTTTACTAAATCGCATATTCCAGCTGTAAATGCTCCAATTCGAGTTGATATCCCAGCTGGACAGTATAATAATGCAAATGAGTCTAGGCCACGCCTTAAACGTGGTAGACCAATCGGTTCCAAGGATAAAAGTCCCCGAAAAAGGAAATGAGCAAATGATCAAGTTGATCATAACATGGAGGCAATTGCTCAAGAGGAGTATAAAGACATAATAATTGATAAGACCTCACACGAGGTTCTAATACCTGAAAATAATGAAAATGAAGAGATCTCAATAAGTTATGTCTCTACGGGAAAAAGGTGGAACCGGAATAATGTTGTTGTTGACAATAATTTTGCATATAACGTTGCAGTTGAAGTAATGCAATAAGATGAGGATCTTGATCCAAAATCTGTTGATGAATGTAGACAGAGAAGTGATTGGCCAAAATGGAAAAATGCAATTCAAGCGGAATTGGCGTCACTCAAAAAACGTGAAGTTTTCGGACTTGTCACGACCTAATCGATGGGCCGCGACGGACACCCGATACCTTACTCAACCGAGTACCAACATAACGTATCATTTCATGTCATACTATCATAGATAATCGAGTCGGAAGGCTACCGTGAGATAAGTAGAATACAACATGTGATACCAACTTATACATAAGACATACGGGTCTATAAGACCAAAATAACCATTCGTATACTGAACATAGGCCGACAAGGCCATACAATCTTTTACGTACATGACATCTGTCTACAAGCCTCTAAGAATACATAATTTTTCATAAAGGTCGGGACAGAGTCCCGCCATACCAAACAATACACGTTTAAATCATACTAACCAAACAGCAACTCCGAAGCGAATGGAGCGCACCAACATCTTCCGCTGAGCTGATAGCCTACTTGGAGGGCTCTCGACCTGTCTATCGGGACCTACGTGCATGAAACACAGCGTCCCCAGGCAAAGAGATGTCAGTAAGAATAATTTACCGAGTATGTAAGGCACATAAATAGGTACATAACAGACCTGGAAGAAATATAGAGTAAATGACTCAACCTGTAAGTTTGGATAACTCTGTAAATCATGAAATAATTATAGTATCATGCATATGCATATGAATGTCATGTCGTGCATAGATACATGTTTCATAACATCATCAGGCCTCTGAGGGCATCCCATCATATCATCTCGGCCACTGTAAGCAAAATCATCAACGTATACCAGCTGATGAGGTGGTGGTGCGTATATAACGCCATAACCTTTTCCCATATATATATATATATATATATATAACGCCATCTGGTCATGGGTCAATGTGCATGTATAAATACATGAAATGCATATGAAATACGTTAATAAAATCTCTCGGTACGTCATAAGACCATTATACCTCTAATTAATATCATCAAATAAACTTTACCAACTTACGTATTTTAGAGACCCATGAACAGATGATAGAATAATATGACACATGGGGAATCAAGAACATAAGCATATCTAGTATTTTTATGAATAGAGTCATTTATGGAAGTTGTGCATTTGCTCGTTTCGTTCGTATCGTATAGATCATGACAAAAAGAAAGAAGGGATAGCCTTAACATACCTGGAGTAGGGAAAAATCCGTATGATATTCTTGGAAAAGGTTGCACTGTACTCCCTTAGAATCGCAAAATCTACGTTGTTAAGGTGCTAAGAAATCTCGTTGAAATTTTGGTTGCTAACGTTGGAATTCTTGTAGATGTTATGAATTCTCTTTGTTTTGTAACCTTTGTAATAGGAAATCATTATCAAATTACTACTTGAATGTCTAAAGTCCAAAGAAACCAAAATGCCAATTCTCACGTTCTGGACATGTTATGAAGTTTTAAACAAAAACTTTGAGCCCTCATCCGTTAGTTAGCAATTTTGTATACAATACTGATAAGGTAAGAAAGTCTCTTAAATTTATAAGCTTGTGGGTCCCATTTTATTGCTTACTTGGCCAACAATTCCCTCCAAATATGAAACATTATTTTGTAATTTAATAGTCATCACTTAAGACATGGGTTGTTGCCACGTTTTGGTGATTTTAAGCCTATCCAAATTTTATCCATCCATTTCCTTAATTACATGGTTAATTTTTCACCAAAAATCCACAATTAACCAAATATTCACATAATTAAGAATTATCTCAATTTACTTAAAATACTACTCACTTTTAATATACTTTATACACCTTACTATCATGGTCATATGGTACCCTATATGGCACTAGTCCATAAATACCGGGTATTTATAGTCCGGACCGTATTTTATCTCAAAATGCCAAACTTTGACGAAATTCATTTTCATCGATTTTCTTACCCTCTTACCTTCACGAATTTACTTATCACTTTCTTGCAATAGCATAATACTTATAACCTCAAAATAATCTCATTCCCAAACTTACGTCGATTAACTTACGACGAAACTTTAACGTATGAAAATGCGGGATGTGACATCTCATTTCCCAAGCTTCCATCAATTTATTTATGGCGTACTTACATGTACGAAAACATGGGGTGTAACATCATTCCCACCTTTGGAACATTCGTCCTCGAATGTTGACTGATGCACTTATCATTTTCATGACTTATGCCTTCCGAATACTTTAGTGCTCTCCTTGCCATCTGGGCAACTGTTCCATGAATAATTCCAAAGGCCAGGGCACTTCCCCCTTTAGGCCTCTTTCTCACACCATGACTTATGGTCGGTATTCTCCCAATCTCGTAACTGTTGCTACCTTCTGTCATGCAGCCTGTACGACTTCTTTCTATTATGTGCGCCTATGCGACTCTTCTCTCCTCTTTCCTCCAACTTTTAGCCAGTCTCTAGGCCTCACTTTGTGAACATATACTAAGTTATGTCAAGCTGTCTCTCTGGGCGTCATTAGCTTTACTACATCTAAGTAGGCCATACTATACCATAACTCTTACTTCGGTTTATCGTTATTGAGGTCTGCTACCCACTCCAGGTTACTCCCGTTGCTTATCCTTTAGACCGATGGCCTAATCTC